AAGCCGCAGCAGCATCAAAAACAACAACAACAACAACAACAACAACAACAACAACAACAACAACAACAACAACAATTTCAGTTGCCAAACACGTCGTTCGGAAACTCAAAACGAGCTTTGCGAACTCGCACTGGCTCATTCTCCCTGCCCCTGTGGTACTGCCATCTTAGAAGACAGCTGGGGATCCAAATAGACGAGGTTTATTTTCAACCCAGCATACGGTAGGCGCTGCTGAAACCGGACCTGGATCTAAGTATGCTTGTAACCTCTGTCTGTAGGACGTAATGGCACGGAGCATCTGTGAAGTCGACTAGTTTTGTCAAAAGAGGTAGTCGCTGTAAAGGGGATAGTAATGACTACAGGCTGTAGATTTTCTCCGCCACTGTGCCTTGAAAACGCGCCATCATCTCATGAATCGTTTTTGTAGATATCACTTTTCCGTGAGTAACCCGCTTAGATAAAATTTAGACACAATGGCGCTTCCACTGAAATATAGAACCCGCCTTTCCCTCTGAAGTCAAGCTTATTCCCAAAATTGTCATGCGTGCTCAGTGATTCCGACTGCAACCGTGTTACTCTACAAGTAAGGCGTTATAGAATCAAGGCAGACATTCATTGCCAGATCGATAGTTGTGTGCGAACTCGAATGCTGACATTCTACAAACAGGGTGAATAGTATTTGAGATACTTCTTGTTCTCATCTTCTCTGATGATGAACGCAACCAGAGCTGTGACGAATGTTTGTCTATGATACCAAATCTGTATCAAACATATTTTATTTGTTGATGAAACCAGACCAAGAAGGCCATATTTGGCAGTGTTGGATGAAAACTTATTACCTAACGGGTTGTTTCTGACAATGTAGAGCTCCCCAAATCGTCATAATTCAGCGATGCATTCAGTCGTGTCCTCTTTGTGATTTCTACAAAACGACGTTTGTGTTCTTCAGAAGTTGCCGTGAGAACTTTCTTGTGTCTATGGCTAATATGATTTAAACCGGTTTTTTTGTGAGCGATTCATTATGAACTTACTGTGTGCATTCCAGAATGTTGATATAGGCATAACAGAGTATTTGAGTACAATTTTTTCGATGCAATATGTTACTTGACTAAATGATCAAGAAATAATTAGCCTCATAAGAAACGAACAACTCCGACTTTTCGAGAATACATTGTAAGCGTAAAGGTTTGTTTTTGCAGCCAGATTAATTAATTGATCTTTGCAATTTAAGTTCAACTAATGACATTCAGAAACTACGTACAATGACACAAGGAGTAGGTAACTGACCCCTTTATGGATGGTCGTCGGTGTTTAAGTGAGGTCTTGCGGTCACCGATGCTCTGTCAGTTATTGATCGTATTTTTATTCCGTGCTCACAATCTTCACGAAGGCAGGACAGTCAGTCGGCTTTATTGAAAGTTTGGTTGCGTGCTCAACAGCTGCAGCTAATACTGTAGTGAATTGTCGTTTGGCTGTCTGAAGTACGCCGCACGCAGAGTCGAGAGACCTCCCTGACTAGAACGGAGGTCACTATCTCCCATTTACTGTTAATGTAAGTATTGGTGCTAGTGTTAACAGTAACTTCGATAGACACAATCACAAGCAGAATGTAGGCAAATAATGGAAGATGGAGAACATTCACGTAAGAATTAAAAGTTGAGGAACACTCCGGAAAAGGTGTGCCATTGCCAGCCTGATCCAATGAGCTGCTAAGAGAAGTGGACACGGGAACACGAGGACAGACGTGCAGCTAAAATTTAATAATATGCAATTTTAAAGATCTCCAAGGTGCAGGAGCAGGTAGTACGGTCAAGATTCGCAAATCCGACACAAGCTGTCTATCTTGTAGGACCGTCGGGACAGATATTAACAAGAAATACTACTTAACGCCAGGTATATCACATGTGATTTTGGTGGGTACGCTAGAGAACTAAAGTGACCTGGAAACACATCCCCAGACGTGATTTGAAGGGGCAGTGGCGGAATGAAGATAGTACTTACATTTTTCTAAAAAGATTAACTGTTTCACAATCCGAAACTATCATTTATACTAATTTAACTGCTACAAACATTACGACTTCATTTTCATGAAATTAGACATCTTAAAGGGGAAAAAAAATCAGAGGTAACTATTTTTGGTGCGGTAAACTTATCGTTAGGAGAGATCTTCCGACCGAAGAGACCACACTGTATCGGTGACCTTGGGGTATCTATCCTAAGTAGGACAGTTGCGTTAATAAGCAACGCCTGTGTTTATGCATATTACCAATAAAATGAGGTCACCGAAAACTCGGATGCTGTGCTCAATAACTGAGATCAATGAATAGAGTAACCAATAGAGTAACCAGTTTCTTTCGCCAACCTTATTCCTTGGATGTCAGGCCAAGGAAGCAGCATAAAATGGTTAATTTTAAAAAAAATACTTGAATGAAACACCAGAAATCAGAGTGGGTGTGTATAGTTACAATACATCTGCTAAGTTATGTTTCCTTGTGAAAGATCCAGACAAACCGGGCTTTGTGACGATTCTTTCATGCAGCGGTGTAATGCTGATGCTGAAAATCCCGGATGCGAAATCGATATTATTCCTTTTCTTTTTACGTCGGGAAACTTTCTGTTTGACATTATACGAATGCGTGTTCCAGCTGCATTCAAACAAATCCATTTGCTGAACTCAGACTTAACCAGGAGCGTGCATTGATGAGGTCTATGTCAAACTTCCATATTTATGAGAGGCGAACAAAAAATTGGTTGCGTCGCCCGCTTTTGAGAGACTACAAAACATTGAAAAATTATGATACATAAAGGCGGAGTGCCGATATCAAATTTCGAGGCGGAGGCTAAACTCGCAATTATTCGTTCTTGTACGCCATTGAATAATATATCTATGGGACACGTAAATCTTTGTTACATCGTGGGAGCATCCAAGATGTATTATGCTCGTCTCTGTATCGAACGCGTCCACATATTTGGTACCCTTGGTTAGGGTAGAGGAATGGTTATTTTTTACTACTGATAGGTTTACAGTAACCATAAATTACAAGGAGCGATAGTCTAGGCATCACCAGATGCCCTAGCGTTTTCCGGCTCTCGCGGCCTCCAGCGTTTATCTTTGAAAGGATCACAGATTCTTGTCAACCATTATTTTCAGGGTGCAATGCCCTCACACCACCTGTGGCTGAAACTTTTTTGGTCCCTTTAAACAGATTTATCAAACTTAAACTTTCAGATAGAAGTTGCGGAAATTCGGGTCTTAACTATCTAGATGCGAAGCAAAATTGTGGGTTCTGTTGCAATTTTAGTCTATTTTTTAACTTTTACATCGGGTTTTGGGAGTGTGGTGCATGTGATTCTCTTCCCAGTAATATGAGATATACCGTTCGATCTCCATGTTTATGCATGGAGCAATTTTCAGTGAAACGACAACTTTTGAGGTTGTAAATTTGTGGATCCATTGTTTATCCTTTTTTCATACTCACAGCCTTTTAAGTCTATCTTGCCTTTCACTTTTTTGTCTGTTCTAGGTTTTGTTGGTTTACCAACCCACATTACGTGTGACTAAAAGATCACTGGCCGCGTATACCAGAACACCACAGTTGGACCTTTCGCGCTATACCTTAAGGGAAATTTCGAGGAAACCAGTTAGAATGCTCCATCCGGTAAGTAGAAACGTATCCTGCTTATCCAGAATAATGCACTATGTATTTGGTGATCTGCTGTGTGCATGACGAACACCATAACTACCTTCCATATGTCTGTCTTTTACTGTTAGCTGGAAGCCTCAGTCGACAGGAAGCCACCCAACCAACAGGAATAATCTAACAATGTATGCTAAGGTTCTTAAGTATCAGTGGGCGTCACTGCGGACTAGTCGCATTTTCTCCAAAAAGTGGAGTGACTCTTGCTATGACAGCAAACACTGAGTTCACGAAAAAGGCAAATGAAAACGACACTGGATAATTAAGAATTGGGCACCGTTCAGCGCTTGACAACGAAAAACTACTGACCTCTGATGCCTTGCAGCAATGATATGTTCCACTTTTCGTAAGTTTGTCAACCGAAAGAATCATTTAAGGTAAAATTCGGGCCTGCACAGGATGGGGTGACCATAAGTTATGCTCAGTGAAGCGCTTTTCACATTGACCGTTCCGGACACAATTCAACGCATCTGCGTCCCTTGGCTAAGTACTTAAATTGCAAGATTAACATGTTTAGGCGCAGAAACAATAAATTCGGCGTTGGCAGGAGCAGCCGCGCGCAGCATCAAAGTGAGTCAAGCGCAAACACGTTTTGGTTTGTTCTGTACAGTCTAGCCACAGTGCGAACGCTCCAGCTTCATGCATGCAGGATTACTATACACCGACCGTTTTGGTTGCATAGAAACGTCGTTTTCTTTGTTCGTTAGTCATGGTGGATTCTATACGCTTACGCAGGTGTTCCTTTTGTTTCCTACTTGAAGAAGGGTAATCTCCAAACTGGATCCCTACAGTTTGTTTCTCATAATACGAATCAGTCTGTGGACGATAATCCGGGATGGGTTTTCCTGCTGATGTAGAAGTTACTGCAGTAGTTGATGTAATAGTTGAGGTTATTTCTGTATCGAAGTTTTAAATGATGCAAACAAGAAACACTTAGTGCTTGATGCCTATCTCGTAATATCTCCGCGATATAAAGGGACAACTCTGTGACACTTCAGTGTCGTCACTTTTGCACAGTGCGCATCAAGAGGTAGTGATTCACTCGGGAACAGCTCACATTTGACTGAGCTAATTTCTCAGTTAGTTATCCCAAGTTTAACTATCTGGAAAATTCTCTGGAAAATTCTGCGAAAATTCTCCAGACTAGAGGTATTTCGTTGACATGTGTTGCAAATCAGCGCCTCTAAATACACCTCAATTTTCACGAGATTTCAAATTTTGGCCTTTTCCCTGTCAAAAATGTTATTGAATTTGATAACACTAATCCATCAACTAGAAAAAAAAAGAATTATGGGTAATAACCATGTTTTTCCAACTTCTACATCTTCTATCGATTACCAGAACCTCAGTACCAGTGAAGTTTCTTACCAGTACAAGCTAACCTCACCGAGTTTAACTAAACACATTATTAGGTAAGGCCAAAAGTAGCGCCAATCGAAACCATCGTCTAGATCGCTGATCCACAAGATTGGTTCTCTTTTCGTATACACGGTTAGGCTATAGTTGTTTATGCGCTTTTGTACGCGGATTGTCGTGCCTTCACGAAGCAAACGCAGGGAACTCCTCAGTTGTTTCACCTGACCATATTCGCCTGCCAACTCGGCATCAGCATAGACAGCCCGTCTTCCATATCCCCGTAAATTTTGTTTTCATAGCGCTCTTTACATCTTGAAGAAACTATTTTTTCATGCTATGAATCCTGTCTCTTCAGAGGATATGTCACAAGTGGGAAGTGATAAAATCTACGTGATTCGTTAAGATAAGTTCCCGCGTGGGCACACATTAAATATTGGATCTGAGTACAGTAACCGTCTCTCCATGATGCAATATGTGGATATCGCTTTAACATAGCCTGATTCACAGGAACCTTGTGTGCGGATATGGACGCTTGATGGAGGTCTTAGAAAGTGAGCCAGGCTAGTTTAGTAGTTTGTGTATCAGAACTCTGGAAACTGTGACCTGATTAGTGAGGAAGTTGAAGATTTGATAGTTCAGAGAGTTAGAACTTATACTATCATCCGAGTTATCTGAAGCATTTTCCTCCTTTAATTCACTTCATCAAAGCAGCAAAAAGACAACTGATGTTAACAACTCTTCCTTTCATTGGCTGGCTGCAAACAGCATATTTATTGGCTTATCACATGACAACTAGTTTGAAGCAGTATGTGTTGCGATTTCGGCAGAAGCGATGGAGCGATCTTTCTGCAGCCCATATTATCTGGCAGTTCATTCGTAGTTCATTCGTTGCAATTGCATTTACATCAGAAGAAGAGGCCACTGTCCCACCCGATTTTAAGCTTATCACATGGCAAATGATCTGGCAGGCTTTCTTAAACAGCAGTCCGCTAGTAATCAGTTTAAGATCCGAAACAGCAACACCAATTGCAAAACTCCTGCTAGCCACAGATTATTTGGGTTCCCCCGGACAATATTTTGCTCCCTTGATTTGCAGTCGAACGTCCCAGATGCTAGTATTTAGCGAAGCAAACCTGACCACGCTGACAACCTTTTTTATGCGCACAAGTTCGGTGACATTGGACCTGTGTCTATCTTAACAGTGATTTTGACGTACTGCCAGTTGCATCGTGCTCTTTGTTTGTTTATTTTGTCTTCAACATAATCGTCCCTGTATAGGAACATCCTATTGTGTGACATCAACATTCAACAGTTACACGCAGAATTGACAAGGAATCTCGCGTAGAATCTTGTTTTGAGATAAATTTGTTCCCAATGCTTGATATCCTACACATAGTTATTGGTTTCATCTAAACAAAAATTCATTTGTGTTTAAAAATAGCAGAGAAACAACAAAACTAATAATAATGCTATTTTCCGCGCTTATCCCCCGCAGATAATATCGAAGGTATTACGCTTTGCATTTTTTTAAAAATGCATTTCGTTGCTAGAGAAGCAAATTCTGTTACCTATCATTAATTCCAAATAAGATCCCCAATAGGTAGTTTTATGTAACATGCTACTCCTAAGGTCACTGAAAATTCTTCGACAGCCCACCACCGGTTTCGCCCTTCTTGGGGCTAATCAGGCAGGAGCAGTCCCAGAGTTTCTGTTAACCTTATGTTCTACTTGTTTGTTTACAAATGAGTGTATTTCGCGAAGTTTGTTTTGATGTTTGATTAGCCAAACGTGGCTAAGAGAGAGTTGAAACCAGATCTCTGGGTGCGCCAAAAGCGTATTAACTATCTATCAGAGTAATGATCAGAGATGTAAATTGCCCAACTGGTAAAACACCCTAAAAAAGAGACTGAAGGTGCCTCCCATCTAGGTGTCCGTCTAAGGGGCTTGTTGTATCTCACTTCCAGTAAAGGTGTTTCCGACAAAAAGGAGCCGTATTCAAAGGAAGGTTGCTTTCTCATGGTTTTGTTGAGCTCCTTTGATTTAGGGGTATGCATCTGGTAGAAACGAAGTTCGCAAACCTTTCACCGGGAAGTGACTTTTCCAACTGCATTTCCTGTCACTTTAATTGGAATAATTAATTTATTTGTCCCCTTTGTAAGTCTAATCGCACTTCAGCTTGTTCACTTCCATCTTATTTGTGTACAAGGAAATAATAGATCGGGGAAATTGCTATTGTTTTTTTTCAGGAAAAGACTCTCAATGCAATAGCTTTGGAACGATGAGTATGTTCAGATGTAAGGGTTGACAATTTTCATACCAGCTGAGGACTTGATCAGTCCTCTGCCGTAGAGGTCTTTTTGTCCGATGAAAAGTCAAGTATGGCAGTCAAATATGAGAGTACGCAAAATAATTTATGTATTTGCCGCAAATACGAAAAAGCCTGGCTTTGAATGCCTTCAACAGAAACCCTCGCGCATAGTTTGAGAACAAAGTTGTACAGAAAAAATTAGGCAAGCCAAAAATTTGGTATTTTTTCCTTTTTGAAGTCATATGGAACAAAATGCAAGGGGTGAAGAAATAAAGCTCAGAATTTAATGCAGCACAAATGGTAGGATGTCCTGTCTGACACAATCAAACGTGATTCCCAGTAGCTTTTTACCTGTTGCACTTGAGTTCATTTCTTAATAGGCCCACGTGTTTGAGGTTCAGTGCTGTTTACCACAGTAGGTAGCAAAATTCTTCTGTCTGTTGTGAGTGTTTCTCACAGTCCACTGACCCGTTAACCTACTTGCGGATAACTTCATGCTAAGTTATGCATTGTTTACACAAAACACTTTGAGTGACCACCCAACTGAAGGGGCTGCATCTTTCCCAATAAGCACAATAAAGCAGCGTTTGAATGTGCACACAACTGTTTCACGCTTTTGTCAGCACACCACAGTGCTTTTTTAACTCCTTCCTCCTATTCACTTCAGTGGCATGACCACGTTTTAGTCTCTCCAATGCACTACCCACAACCACATCGAACGCGATAGTGCACATAACCTGTCGTCTTAAATGACACACTGAAGACTGTGACCTTGGTTTCACTTTTAAATGAGTTGCTCCTAATGATTGACTTCAATCTTACAGTCACGAAACGGTTTGCCGTAGAAATTTTCTGCACTCCCCAATTGTTAATTTATCAGCAAAAAATTGCGATTATTTTGGAAAAACGGGCGGAATGACTGACCTCTGTGCTTACGGAATCTAGCTACTGTCAACCCGTAGTACAATTTCAAACGTTCTATATGCTTTTCTCAACCAAATGTCTCTGATATTTCAGATTTTTGCAGCTAAGCCAACAGCTGAGCATGTTTTGCAATATGAACTCCTCACTTAAGGCTAAACCATTCACTAGTTCTGAAGGCTTTGCTAATCGGTGCTTCAGAGGGTTAGCTAGAGTCGTTCTAGCATACGACGTGCGTTTTTTATCAACAAAAAATTACAGTGTCATCTTTCGCAGATTTAGGTGAGACGATGAGATAAGGAGAATGTTATGTTCATCTCATAACTAGTATGAGCCCTAATGATATTTTGGCGGATGAGGCCTCTATGTAAATATACAAGGCGAAATCCGTTTCTATAAGGCGCATTTTTGTATTACTGCAATGAAGCCATCATTCGGAATTTTATTAGTTCATACTGAAGACAGCAATATAAGGTGTCCTCAGCACCCGAACGCCATGGCGCTTGTCGGTTGTCACCTACTTTCTTGTAAATTGGTGATCATAAGATGCTAAAAGGGTAGCCCAATAGTGTTTCAGCGCTATGAAGTTCCTCAGCGTGAGTTAGTCCCGGTGGAAATAAAACAATTTTTATACTTGATTGAGATTACCACATGGTGGGTTGAAACTTTCGACTGGGGCAAGACTGCGGTAGGTTAGGGCATTTTAGATGAGCCCTACACTACAGCTAAGGTCATACTATCACTTATGTGCGCCCAGTGATATGGGTGCGTGCAACACATAATGATGAACTCCACTCAGTTTCTGTTCACATTGATGGACTAAAGTGCGAGGGAGTGAGTGAAACGGGATTTTCTATAGTACACCAAAAAAAGCCGTCTTTATCCAAAGTTCACTTTTCAAAAGGATATTTGGATGAATTGATGGTTGAGGCACATATCTCCACGACAGATGCAATTAATAAAGCCGTTTACGTGGTTTGTAACACTACCTAAGCCGAATCACCCTAGTTAGTCAACCACCTGAAAAGCTGCTTGGTCCTAATTCAAATCAAATGCTGACCTATGCGTTATTTTCCGGTGTTTTGTTTTGTTCCTGTTGCTTCATCAACGAGTTAATAGTGGCTTGCCAGTGGTTCTCACTAGTTCTTTTTCTCACTTAAACAGACACAAACCTTAATAGGTCGGACACAAACCGCAAGCTACTGACCGAAATTCGCTTGTCTGGAAACAACTGTGAGGTTTCATCCAATCTGTCTCTCTAATTGGCTTTCACATTATCTAGTAAACATAAATTCTGTGAGGACTAATTGGCTGCCCTAAAAAAGAACGAGAATTTTTGTGCAAAAATGAACATCCGTTCAATATATATTTACTGAACAATACTAGAAGCAAACACTGTAACCGGAGCAATCCAAAAAGTAACAGCACTCCGGACCGACAAAACAAATGAGCTGTATCAGTCAAACGTACGTTTACGTCGAAGTTGGAACTTTCGCCGATTGCACAGATAAAAATTGGTATCTGCAAGCATAATTTGAGGTCGTTGATGTCAATCATACGCGCTCGGGGTATGGGGTTGTGGATTTACGTCACAGAACTTATATTCTGATGGAAGGTCGTCGCAGGAGTAGTTCTAATGCAGCATATCCTTCACACCACGGTTTTCTACCTCCTCAGCCTACATAGCTATCTGACACCAAATCCTCTTTGTCATCAGATATTTTTATATGGTAACTCTAATTCCCGAAAGCCCTATTGTTTGCTTGATGTTTGGTCCTTGCAGGTGTGCAGGCCGCAATGGGTCCGTTGAGTGCAGAGACGACATTGGTTCCAAAGGGGCTGGAAATCCAAACCGCAATATGCAGATTTTAGCATTGGCTACTTTTCTAAATTTTGACGCCAACCCAAATAACGGACACTAGCCCGGCCATGTTGGCTTCAGCTTGACTGTTTGGATTAACTTTAGTAGTTAGAATTTTGGGACAAACTTTCTACTAAAGAAAGCCTACTCAAGGTTCCCGAACCGTTGTTCTTATGAGAAAGACTACCCCCCAATACCCAGTCGGCGTGTATATTCAAGTGTGGGGGTCGGAGTCAAAGTGCACTGGGGTTCCTAGTTCTCATTTGGTGTTCAGTCGGTGCTCAAGCAGCAAAACCTTAAAGAGTTAGGCGACGCTTTTAGGGCGATAATGAAGTGCGGGCTTTCTCTGTCAGTCAAGCGTATGACCTTCACCTAATTTGACTCGAGTCCAGATGACGCAATACTTTTCTCGTACCTATAAACTTATGCTGGAGTCTACAGTGTTGTGAACAAATGGAACCAGTGAACCAATCTCAAGGCTTAACTGACACTGTCAGTGGTGACATGTGGACCTGCTACTGGACATCAGTCGTTAGGTACCAAGAGAATGTGTTTGAAGCAGACAAGAGGTTTCTGAGTATGGGTAACAAGGCCTCTGTTTCTATGTGTGGATCTTTGTTTCAGTTATCAATAAATCCACAACTAGTCGGATTACGGAAAAATTATTTATGCTGCACCAAGGACGTCAACTGAAACGTTTATCAACCACATCATTCCTTAAATAATCTAATCTAGTGTTGTGCACGTCGTTTTCCAGTTGAAAACGGTCGTGCGTTAAGAGGGACGCGTCACCTCTAACTCAGCAGAAGATTCTGAGATCCACAGAGAAAATCGTGAGGACTTTCGGTTTGATCACCAAGGGAGCCAGCGCGATGAGTATGATGCTGACAACTATGCTAATGATGGTAAAGTTAGCGGGGTAGGTGCTCGTAGACATACAATGTATACTTTTACTTGCATCCGGGGTCACGTGGCCGGGTGCCAGAAAATCATTAGTTTGTATGCGTTCCCTTTCTTTTGAACCCTACATTGTGCTTGCGAACATTTTTGCCTTAATAACCCCCATTATTTCCTTCTGTGTTTAGGACGACGCAAATTACGATAAAGCCTATGATGCTTTAGCTACGATACTCAAAGAAGCGATCAGTTTCAATGATCCTGCCTCAGCGTATGTATGGCAGTATGTAAGTCTGGTAAACATCATCTATTTTGAACCGTTCCATGCTTCTGCCTTTGGTATACAGTGAACAACCCGTTGTTGCTTTAAAAAAAACGTTCAAATTTCCTAGGTCACCCCATCACATTAACAGGACTTACGCGACGTGGAAAGTGAGCTCAAGTACTTCAGGTTTTGTAAACGAGGATAGCCTACGGCCGGGAATTCCAGAGTCTCCAGCTTCGCATGCATAACAGCAATTTGACTCGTGGTTACGAATACTGAGTGCATCATCACGTTCGAATGCACCAGTTACTCTTGTTTAGTCAGCCCCGGAATCAGTAAGGCTTTCATGGAAAAATAAGATGAGTAACCGGTTGTAAGCACACGTACACCAATCCCATTCGATCAAATTCTGTTTCGCAATTCCCTAGAGAATGTATTGATGAGACAGTAGCCAGCGTCGAATGGTGATCATATTTCTTCTAGAACTGTTTCAACATATCGAAGGTTATTTTCCTGACTCCTTAAAACTGATGTGTTCAGAGTTTCTCTGAATTAATTCTGCATACACTCAGCTACAAATTACCTATATCTAACTAACATCACTAGTCCATGAATACTCTAAAAAAGTAGATAGAATATCGTGTAGTGATGTAGCACAGCACAAAGTACTGTAATCTGATACAATACAGTAGAATGTAGAATAGATGAATAGATGTTTTTCAAAGCCGAAGCGGTTGATGCGTGCAACTATTTAATTACTGAGACTTACTCGCTAAGTTACGTTCTGGAGGCTGTAATAATGGTGGCAGAACAAACTTGGCAAACCTGGGTTCCTTCTAGTCCAGATCGGTACAACGGCCATTACCTCTAGCTGATAGGCAAAGATACCAGCTGCACGGACCTTGTCCGTAACTTCTCAGTTCCATCGCAAATGCCACACCGTCTGCACGTCTTAGCAATCTGTTTAGTCTCTGAATAATTAGATGTTACGGCTGGTAATAACTGGGAGATTTTTACACGCTGGATACGCAGAACGACTGCATCCCATTTGGAGGCCGAGTGTTTATCCCCAAATTACTGAGATATGAAATGCTCCGGCAGTAATATATCAAGCATTCAGGCATAAAACAGATAAATGCAACAATAATTGGTTTTATTCATTAGCTTGACAAAAGACTGTAGAAATAGTAGAGACCTAATCCGCTTTTGCCGAGCTGTAGCAAGGATTTTTATACCTCCTTTAGTCTAAGCATTATTCGTAAGTGGGTACCGACAGGACCGTGGACACATACATACTCGCTTTGTTTGTTGTTTGATGTACAGCGAAATGGGTTTTGTGTAACTCAAGTGCAACTGGCGACTTAATTGAATCTGACCAATGTCTCCAGGTGAATTTTCTTATGTAATTTAGAGTTCGAGAATGAGTGGTGCGGAGAAGTGGATTTCAGTTTACCTCAACCAAAATGGCATATTTCCATAAAACTATTTGGGTGAAACCAACTCGTACTCCAATGATTTATTTGTTGTCAGTTAGATGTATATGTTCGTTCGAACGGACGAACAAACAAATCAGAACGCAGGTAACCAACAACAGTAGCATGCCTTTAGATTTTTCGTAAATACCATTGAAATAGACAGACGTATCCCGATGAGACTAGTCGTAAACGTTAGTCTAGGCGGATGAATCAACCTTTATGGGTTGTAATAAACGTTGTTTACCGGGTACAGTATTTAGGACTGAGTGGGTGATATATCATATGTAGAACATGCTTAAACCTGGCCAATCAAAACTCAAATTTAACCTATCCCTGAACCCCTGTGGAATATGTTCGTATCGCCGAAAACCTACAACTGCACCCACAGAGCGCGAACCCACCTCGGAGACCTCAGAATTAAAAGAATGCGGGCGCGAAACGACACTGATTTAATGGTAGCATTATAGAATGGTCAAAAGCCAAATATGTGAAAATCTTCTCAGTGTTCCCACAGGTGCTTGTGAACAGCGACTTTCGCATTGTTCAGAATCGCTCATATATTTAATGGAGTATTTTGATTAGAAAACGTCAGACGGATACCCCCATCCACCGAGTTATTCTGGGATTATGTGCATGACAATTTTGTTGTGATGAAACAAGAGATCACGGGTTTTACCACTATCTAAATAAACTGAATACATACGTCAAATTTAGTGTGGAGGTAAAGTCAGTTTAGTGTACACTACACTTATTAGGTTGCATGACACTCGAAGAACTAAAAGTCAGTGTATTAGACGATTTAGAACTACCACTCTGTCCATCCAAAATCGGTATTTGCTGATATTGCCGCAACGCGCAGAGGACATACAAAATATATCAGTGTTTGATCATCGGCGTCCCCGAAGCACTGGTCAGGTCTGGTGGGAACATCGGATTAGAAACGCTGAGGTACGCCAGATTGAACTCTTCAGGAGGAACTCTCCCGCGATAGACGAATTACTCACGCTTCACAGGTTGCGCAGGTTAAGACATGTACTCCGCATTTCAGAAGACCGCCTGCCTCATAGAGCTATCTTTCCCAGCCCTGTGCTGGGTGCAAGCGACCGAGAGATGGACAACTGACAACAAAGCATGAAAACACCAACCGGTAAACTTGGGTGGACAAATGCCACCTCCCCGGATAAGGACTACGGGACTTAAATAACCAGTGGAAATAGAATTGAAGACTTAGAACTAGCAGGCTTGTATAGGACAGTTTGGATTGGTCGAGATGGAACGTGGTGATGCGCGAGCATCCGAAGGAAAACTCACCAAAAAAGCAGATTAGATCTAAAATGCACGCAATCTCACCCACTTTCTCCCCAACTCACTGCTTTTTGAGCAGAAGCGGCTCAACATCATACCTGTTCTATGTAGTTTACGCTGTCAACTGTGGAAGGCTCGTTAAGTAACTGATGTAAACAGTTGCCTTACTTGCTTTCGTAAAGTGTCCCAGTTCCCATATAGTTTAGTTGGAACATCCTACCGATTCCGGCAAATTGTGGCAATCTATGCATGTATTAAGTAGACAAATTTGCCGACAAATGGTTCTTTCAAAGCTTCCAATTTTCACTCACTTCTTTTCAGACAATTCTTGATGGTGGTTGTTAGTATCTATCCTAATTTAAACCTGAAAGCCTGCCTTATGCAAGTGCCAATTCAAAACAGTTAGATTTGCAGGATACAAGAAATAATGGGCGACTGAAAGTACCGTTTTCCGCATTAAAAGCTATAAACTGCTTCTTAATTTTTTCACGGCTATCGTTTTTTAACCCTTAGCTTTCAGTGCAATAGAGCCATGTTATCGGGTTTGTTTTTTTCGACATTTTATTAATAAATCGATATCACCGATCCACTCAACTACGATTATTGAAGTCTGTGTTGGTCAACTACGCACAATCAAGTGCATTCATCTATGCACCTTATATAAGTCAACTTGCTCATTTTGTTGATGTCATTCCTAGTGAGGCGATATCATGAGGTTGGCCATATTTGGCCTTTTGGTTTCGGTACTCCTGGGACACGTCTTGGCTGTCTCAAGCTTGGATACTGCAAAAACAAAGGCGACAAATGATCACACGAATGAAAAGCAGACTTCAAACACAGCCACTGCTACAGAAAAGGAAAGCCAAAAGAGTGTTGCTTCATCAAAGAAAATTTACAAATTCCCGTCTAGTCAGCTTGAAAACAAAAAGCTGGAGGTAACCTCCGCGGAGAAACCTGAGAGTAAGGGAAGCCTGATCAAAGCGGCATCAATTCAGACACACAAAAAGAAGTCAGATGCAACGGAGAAGAAACTCATGAGTATGCTTCAAGATGAAGAGCAGGCAAAACCGGCGCTTCAGAAATCTAAAAAAACACATGCGTTTCTGGATAGTCAAAAGAGTTGGCTGCGGGAGGGCGGGGACACTAGAAGTATGTTGGATTCTCTTTCTACTGGAAATAAATACGGAGACAACCGCTCCCTAAAACACATGAGTGACCAACTGCGTAGTCGTCTTGGCGATGCAGGATCCGTCCGAAAACATTTCCGTGTTATGAACGATGGCAACCTGAAGGGCAGCAAATTTCAACCACCAGAAGCGTACCGTGATAGCTTGCGTACTCATGTGCGCAACCCATACATGCTGCGTCAACAAATGCCAGACAAAAACGAGGGATTCGACTATCGTGGCCGATGGGTTAAATCTTCTGGTCTAGATTATTCCGGCGTTGACAAAAAGGCTCGAATGATTCATAACCAACAAGCTTATGATCAGCTTCGGAATAGATTACGTGACAGTGACTTCGTGGGGCGTCCGAGACATTACCTAAAGGAAGGGTGGCGTTCGAACTCAAAAGCCCTCCAGCGTTACAAAGACACAGATAGGTATGGCTTTGAGGAGGACGAGGACGACCGTTATGACCGCCGTATGCCAGTTAGATTTTACAAGGGAGTCTATGGTGCAATGGACGAGTCGAAGTTTAACCATGGCAGAGCAATGTTACATAGAGGATCACGAATGCTCTACTGAATTGTCAACCTCTAAAAGGAATACAGATTTCAGAACCCAGTGTTTCCTGTCTGGTTTTTAGCAAGTATAGCACACAGTGGGTTTACTTGCGGCTTTTAACTATGAGAACAACAACAACCTTGGCAGAATACAACCCATTTTTACTGAATATCACCTGAGTTTTTAAGACTATGGAGGAAAGTTGCAACCCCACAGATCCGCTAAAGTTTCCAAAACATGAAAGGTTATTGTTGTTGGACTCAGCTTTCATAGTGGTTTCTAGTTTTTGGATGACAGTTATTATTCAGTAAGATGAGCTCAGAGAGTTTTTATACACCCTTAAGCTGGGTCCAAAGTAAGAATTTTGAGTTCTCGCCCATATACACTGGAGTAAATAGTATGTTGATAGTTGAGAGATGATATAATCCCAAGTGCGGAGCTGTTCATTAGCGCACATTAGCTAAACGGTTAGATACAAAAGTAAAAATCATTTACACAAAGGTTTTGGGATTTGA